TTACGTCTAGCAGGTTATTACTTCTAGATATTTCACTCACAAACTGCTATAAAAAGCAATCGTGAATAAGTGTTATTGCAGTGGCAGGTACATTCTGAATGACCTTGTGATTCAGTAGTTCATTTTGTCCCTCGAGAGCCTCTGTCAAGTCGTTGAACGCTAGATTTACAATTAAAATGTTCCAGTCAACTTGCTGAAATTATATATCCCTTGATGAGTTAGGAGTAAGTAGGAGTGTTTACTAATGGAAGAGAGACAAAGAGAAACAGGTGGAATGAATAGAAGTGTTTCTTAGCGGAAGAGAGCGTGGAAGAATCAGATGGATGGAATAGCAGTGTTTCTTACCAGGAAAAAAGCGTGGAAGAATCAGATGGACGGAATAGCAGTGTTTCTTACCAGGAAAAAAGCGTGAAAGATTCAGATGGAGTGAGGGATGTTTCTTAGCTGAAGAGAGCGTGGAAGAATCAGATGGAGTGAGAGGGAGTGTTTCTTAGCAGGAAGAAAGCATGAAAAGGTCAGCTGAAGCACAGTGCAGGGTAATATAACTTACAAGTGGGTGAAAGTGATCACTTTTCCACGATGCCTCCATCGTCTAGATTACTAGAAGAACTTGAGGGGCGGGTCCTGAGCACCAAGTCCACAGCATCTTGTTCAGTGACCCAAGTGCTTAGATATACAGGTGGTGGGAGGAAGGCAGAGGAGGGAAAGGAGACGAGAGAGGGGGGAAGGAGAAGGAGGAGGTAGGACTGAGAATGAGTGTTTGGAGGAGGGGAAAAGAATGAAAGATCTGTTAGCAATTGGTCTGTGAATCATATATTACCATCATGTAATATTTAATGTTAATATCTAGTTTAATGTGATTACTGCTAATACTGTTATTGTTGCTACTACTACTACTACTACTACCACTACTACTACTACTACTACTACTACCACTACTACTACTACTACTACTACTACTACTACTACTACTACTACTACTACTACTACTACTACTACTAGTACAACTACTACTAATAATAATAATATTAATTATAATAGTAATAATAATAATGATAATAATAATAATAATAATAATAATAATAATAATAATATTATTATTATTATTATTATTATTATTATTATTATTATTATTATTATTATTATTATTATTATTATTATTTAGGTTATTAGTAGCTGAAGTTACAATAGTACAAGAAATAGTAGCTGAAGTATTAGTAGTAGTAGCATTAGAAGTGTGGTAGCAGTAATAATAGCAGTAATAGTTGATACTGCTGTTGTTATTTTCGAAACAGTAGTAGCAATTTCACTACTCTCATCACCATTATCATCATTATCATCATTATCATCATTATCATCATCACCATCATCATCATTTTAATCATCATCATCATCATAATCATTAGGCGTTGATCCAAGATGACACTTAGATAATAAGCACAGCATTATTTTGCTAAATTGTATATATTTCAGTTCAGACACGACGCCATCAACGAAGGTCTTCTCAGAGCTCATAAGTAAAACACACCTGCAACAGTTAGGTATCTTTATTCCGAAACGTATCGCCTACACACTAGGCTTCTTCAGTCGAGTACAGAAGACAGCAGAAGCAGTAGAGATGTAGAAGACGTTGTAATCGGTCCATCACAATTACCATTATCAGATGCACTCGTCTTCTCAGAGAGGATGTTTCCAGGGGAGATCTAAAGGATGGATTCTGGTGATGAAACGATCTAAGAATCTTGGTTACCTTTCTGGCAAGATTCACACTATGACTCTTCAGTTTGATTCCATGACCCCACATTCTTAGAAACTCTCACCTACGCTATATGGCAACTTGTTGCACTTATCCATAACCCTTCTGCTACAGCAATACTTTCCCATATCCTTTCTAAATCTGATTTTTGCAAATTTATATTTATTGTTTCGAGTTATTTCTTGGGTAAATGTTCTCTCACCACCGTTTTTAAGGTGACAAAGTTCGGGCTAAATAGTAAGAGTGTAGTGGTTCATTGGGATGTCCAACTGGAAGCCAAAGAGACTACTTAAATTAAAAAGGTTAACAGAACCTGTTATTAAAAGAAGAAATGAAAGAAACCTTGCATCGACTTCCTGCACGCTACCTTCCTCTAAGAAATACCCACTTGATCACATTGACCTTTCCACACATCATGATCATTATATTACCTCTTTTTCTTACCCTATAATCGCTGGCTATCCATTCACCAAGTTCGCATCTCGTAGGGTTTAGGTTTAACATCTCGAAATACAAACGCATTTTTGGAAAGCTTTCATTATAAGGATTTCAAAATTGCATTTCTGCTTTTCCTTGTTAACTCTTAAAATTACTCTTTTTTTTCTCTCTCATCTGTCTTCTCCACCTTCTTATTCTAATTTTTTCTTCCTCCACTTGCTTTTCATGATCCTCACCTTTCTTTTAACATTCTACCTCCTAGCCTCTTCCTGCCTCACCTTATTTATCTTCTCCCTCTCTCCTGGGCACCGGTTGGACTGATACAGGTTCCTATCCCAGAAAAAATATATAAATACCTTGAACTTAAGCTGTGATATATAAGGCTACTTGCGCGTAGTGAGAGTGCCACAATCATCCTGGGCACGGTAAGATAGAAATATCTCTAGCTGGGGCATAGGCTAGAGAACGCATGCCGAAGAACACTCAAGAATATACATTATGCATATTAAACACTTGAGAACACACATATTAAACGCAAGAGAAACATGTGTTATAGAACGATTTTACAGAGACATAGACAATTATGAACGCAGTAGAATACATAAGTATTACTGAGTAGTAGAGAACGAGCAGTTCTGAACACCTAAGAACTCTCGTGATACTGAATATTTGAGATCACAAGTATTACTGAATACTAAAGAACAAATGTACTCTAAATCAACACTTGAAAACACTCGTACACAAAACTGAACACAAAACAACATTCAAACGCAATTTTGGCAAGTCAAGAAGTCACTCTGACTTAATTAGTTTACAAGGCTCCAGCGGACACCCATTTGCTATTAAACCGTAAAAGTTATATGTATACATCATTAGTATATCATGGAAATGTATACTAGAATAACCTAATGAAGACAAATAGCGTAACTTATTTCCAATAGGGTGCTTAAAGTTATTTTTCCATTAGGAGAACTAGATAAAATGGGAGCTGACCTAGGAACTAACTAGCTTATAGTGATTACAATAGTACTAGCAGTGTCACCGGCAGCAAAATTAGTAGTATTATCAATATTATTAATAGTAGTGTGAATAATAGTCTTAATAATAGTAGTAGTATTAATATCAATATTAATAATATTAGTTGTGGTACTAATTTACTAGCTTAATAGCTAAATGTTCCTGTGGTATTTGATCCTTATCACCCATAGTTAAATATCAGCCTTAAAAGGCTAATAGCATCTAATAGCCTATAGGCTATTAGATTCTATTAGCTTATAGGCTATTAGATGCTGTTAGCTTATAGGCTATTAGATGCTATTAGCCTATAGGCTATTAGATGCTATTAACTTATAAGCTATTAGATGCTATTAGCCTATAGGCTATTAGATGTTATTAGCTTATAGGCTATTATATGCTATTAGCCTATAGGCTATTAGATGTTATTAGCTTATAGGCTATTAGATGCTATTAGCCTATAGGCTATTAGATGCTATTAGCCTATAGGCTATTAGATGCTATTAGCCTATAGGTCACATTACGCCATTATACGCATTTAAAGGTTAATGATCCTTGTGTCGGAAAAAGCCCTTTAATGTCAAGTGATAACAATTATTCACTGAGTAATAAGAGTCACTACTAACCCAAACGTCGTTATACCGCAGTTGAAACAGTCCATAAATAACCTGCACTTAAGAGAGATAACTTTAGACGACGTTTCGACCCCTGGACCATTACTAACTCACAAAAGTTACTTGCTAATGGCACATAATGGACCTAAACATTACTGTCAATGTATTGTTTTCAATCTTTTTCTGAGTTACTGTAATATAATAATGTTATAAACCATACCCCCGGCCGGGATTGAACCCGCGGTCATAGAGTCACAAAACTCCAGCCCGTCGCGTTAGCCACTAGACCAGCTAGCCACAATAAGATTCATCCAACTAGGTATATTTCTACACCATAGGAAAGTTAGCACAGGCACCTCTGTGACCACAAATGCAAGTTTTTACAGACGAATCTCCAGCTAGCGTGGCCGTGACGAACTCTAGCTCAAGTCCCTTCACTGCCGTCAAAATGACTCATGGCTGGAGTTTTGAGACTCTATGACCGCGGGTTCAATCCCGGCCGGGGGTATGGTTTATTTGCAATCGTGTCATTACGATTTCTTGAGTCGAGTAATAATGTTATATTTTTTCAGATGAAGACACTGTTGGTGCTATCAGTGGTGCTAGTGGTCTCCACTGAGAAGTTACCAGGAGTCTCCCACGGTGATGTAGGTCTTGGTGGGAGAGGGCTCGGTGTTGGAGTCTCCCATGGTGGTGTAGGAGTCTCCCATGGTGGTGTAGGAGTCTCCCATGGTGGTGTAGGAGTCTCCCATGGTGGTGTAGGAGTCTCTCATGGTGGTGTAGGTCTTGGTGGGAAAGGGCTCGGTGTTGGAGTCTCCCATGGTGGTGTAGGTCTCTCCCATGGTGGTGTAGGTCTCTCCCATGGTGGTGTAGGTCTCTCCCATGGTGGTGTAGGTCTTGGTGGGAGAGGGCTCGGTGTTGGAGTCTCCCATGGTGGTGTAGGAGTCTCCCATGGTGGTGTAGGAGTCTCTCATGGTGGTGTAGGTCTTGGTGGGAAAGGGCTCGGTGTTGGAGTCTCCCATGGTGGTGTAGGTCTCTCCCATGGTGGTGTAGGTCTTGGTGGGATAGGGCTCGGTGTTAGAGTCTCCCATGGTGGTGTAGGAGTCTCCCATGGTGGTGTAGGAGTTTCCCACGGTGGTGTAGGTCTTGGTGGGAAAGGGCTCGGTGTTGGAGTCTCCCATGGTGGTGTAGGAGTCTCCCCTGGTGGTGTAGGAGTCTCCCATGGTGGTGTAGGAGTCTCCCATGGTGGTGTAGGAGTCTCCCATGGTGGTGTAGGAGTCTCCCATGGTAGTGTAGGAGTCTCTCATGGTGGTGTAGGTCTTGGTGGGAAAGGGCTCGGTGTTGGAGTCTCCCATGGTGGTGTAGGTCTCTCCCATGGTAGTGTAGATCTCTCCCATGGTGGTGTAGGAGTCTCCCATGCTAGTGTAGCAATCCCCCATGGTGGTGTAGGAGCCTCCCATAGTGGTGGGAAAGGGCTCGGAGGTGTAGGAGTCTCCCATGGTGGTGTAGGAGTTTCCCATACTAGTGTGGGAGTTTCCCATGGTGGTGTAGGTCTTGGCAGGAAAAAGCTTGGAGGTGTAGGAGTCTCCCATGGTGGTGCTGGAGTCTCCCATGGTGGTGTAGGTCTTGGTGGGAAAGGGCTCGGAGATGTCGGAATCTCCCATGGTGGTGTAGGTCTTGGTTCAGTTGGTATCTTCCATGGTGGTGTAGGTCTTGGCCCAATTGGCATTTCCCATGGTGGTGTAGGTGGTGGTGGTGCAAGTGTCTCCCACAGTGGTGTAGGTGTTGGTGGTTTAGGTGTCTCCCACGGTGATGTAGGTGTTGGTGGTTTAGGTGATGGTAGTGTAGGTGTCTCCCACGGTGGTGTAGGTGTTGGTGGTGTAGGTGTTGGTGGTGTAGGTGCTGGTAGTCTAGGCGTCTCCCACGGTGTTGTAGGTGGCAAAGGTTTCGGTAGCGTAGGAATCTCCCATGGTGGAGTAGGTGTTGGTGGTGTAGGTGTCTCCCACGGTAGTGTAGGTGTTGGTGGTTTAGGTGCTGGTAGTGGAGGTGTCTCCCACGGTGGTGTAGGTGTTGGTGGTGTAGGTGTCTCCCACGGTGGTGTAGGTGTCTCCCACGGTGGTATAGGTGTTAGTGGTGAAAGTGTTGGTGGTGTAGATGGAAAAGGTTTCAGTAGCGTAGGAATCTCCCACGATGGTATAGGTATTGGTGGTGTAGATATCTCCCACGGTAGCGTAAGTGGAAAGGGTTTCAGTAGCGTAGGAATCTCCCACGGTGGTGTAGGTGTTGGTGGTGTAAGTCTTGGTGGTGCAGGAATTTCCCACAGTGGTGTAGGTCTTCGTGGAACTGGGTTTGGCGGTACAGGACTTTCCCATGGCGTAGGACTCTCCCGCGGTGTAGGACTCTCCCATGGTGTAGGACTCTCCCATGGTGTAGGACTCTCCCATGGTGTAGGACTCTCCCATGGTGTAGGACTCTCCCATGGTGCTGATGGTGTCCTTCATACAACAGTTGCTCCAATCTCCTCCGCCGTTCATGGCGTTCAGTTAAATTTGCAGCAAGCCATTGCAGGAGTGCTGGTAAGTCTTATTATAAGCAAACATGTTTACTCCGCATAGCTCCACATTGCATAGCTCCTGATGACGCACGGAGACGCGTGGAAGATCTTGAGCTGAAAATTTCCCTCCCCCTGAGGCTTGTCTTACACATACACACACACACACACACACATACACCCTACATAACTTTAAGAAGAGGTATGATAAAGCTCATGGTGCAGGGAGATTGACCCAGTAATGGCCAGTGAAGAGGCGGGGCCAGGAGTTATGACTCGACCCCTGCAACCACAACTAGGTGAGTACAACTAGGTGAGTACACACACCCAGACGCACACACACACACACATACACACACACACACACACACACACACACACACACACACACACACACACACACACACACACACACACACACACACACACACACATATATATATATATATATATATATATATATGGGGAATGTATGAGAGTATAGTTTTACCAACGCTCTTATATGGGTGTGAAGCATGGGTGATGAATGTTGCAGCGAGGAGAAGGCTGGAGGCAGTGAAGATGTCATGTCTGAGGGCAATGTGTGGCGTGATTATAATGCAGAGAATTCGTAGTTTGGAAGTTAGGAGGAGGTGCGGGATTACCAAAACTGTTGTCCAGAGGGCTGAGGAAGGGTTGTTGAGGTGGTTCGGACATGTAGAGAGAATGGAGTGAGACAGAATGACTTCAAGAGTGTATCAGTCTGTAGTGGAAGGAAGGCGGGGTAGGGGTCGGCCTAGGAAAGGTTGGAGGGAGGGGGAAAAGGAGGTTTTGTGTGCGAGGGGTTTGGATTTCCAGCGTGTTTAATAGGAGTGAAAGGAGACGAATGGTTTTTAATACTTGACGTGCTGTTGGAGTGTGAGCAAAGTAACATTTATGAAGGGGTTCAGGGAAACCGGCAGGCCGGACTTGAGTCCTGGAGATGGGAAGTACAGTGCCTGCACTCTGAAGGAGGGGTGTTAATGTTGCAGTTTAAAAACTGTAGTGTAAAGCACCCTTCTGGCAAGACAGTGATGGAGTGAATGATGGTGAAAGTTTTTCTTTTTCGGGCCACCCTGCCTTGGTGGGAATCGGCCAGTGTGATAATAAAAATAATAATAAAAAAAAACTACATTATATATATATATATATATATATTTATATATATATATATATTTATATATATATATATATATATATATATATGTGTGTGTGTGTGTGTGTATATATATATTATATATATATATATATATATATATGTGTGTGTGTGTGTGTGTGTGTGTGTGTGTTGGGGTGTGTAAAACAAGCCTTGGGGGGAGGGAAATCTTCAGCTCAAGATCTTTCATGCGTCTCCGTGCATCATCAGCAGCTATGCAATGTTGCAAGAACAGCAACGGGTAGATTGAGGGGAAGATTTCTCAGAGGAAAGGTAGCGTGTTGATGCTGGCGTGTTGACAATTATTAAGTCACTATCCAGACTTTGCATATTTCAGGTGACAGTCCCACACCTGCATTCCTAAACCACTAAAGTATGTACCATCATTAGATATGAACTTCCCATAACGTGAAAGATCGAAATTGTGTAGAGGAACGCTGGAACCAAACCGGTGGCATCAAATTTGCCAGTGATAGTAATCATGGGAATGGATAGCAAATGTGAAGCCACCAGCTCACGTATCAGTATTCCTTACACAAGACAATACCATTATGGTCTAGTGGTGTTTGTATGGTACATGTTTAACCCATGTATGAGTTCAGATAACATCATGTTTTTCTGTGTGCAAACACCGTGTTTATACATTTAAACAATATACACAAGTTGTCGTTTTAAGAATACACGAAATGTCAGTTTCCGAACACATCATGAATGAACCGGAAATTTTCTGAACATTCCTTTTCGATTTGCATTTTGAAACAGACTCAGATGCAATGCAAATGAAAACATTTCACAATGCCTTTAGCGAAACGTGGTTAAAATAAAACGTTTCTCGGAACCAGTAACTCTTGTTCATCAATGTCAATAGCACGTGTTTGTAATCAACTACTACATAAATAACCCACACGTAGGAGAGAGGAGCTTACGACGACGTTTCGGTTCGACTTGAACCATTTACAAAGTCACACTAACAGAAAGGAGAGAAGGTGGTATTGTGCCTTTTGTTATTTAATCTACTACTACTCCTACTACTACTAATACTGCTGCTTCTACTACTACTACTTCTACTGCTATTACTACTACTACTACTACTATTGCCTCGCTTCACTACACTTTCTGTCTCTTGTGTACTTTACTCCCCCAACCAACGACTAATTACTATTACTACTTCCATTTCCAGCATTACCCTTGTTACTACCATCTCCACTTCCTTCTCCCTCTGTCCTTTCCCTGCCTTCCTCTCGTATGCATACTGGCTCCCTTTCCTTCGTGCGTTAGTGTGACTACTTAATAATCCAAGTCGGACCAAAACGTCGTCGTGAGTTGTTTGTTTTGTACCGGTTACGGTATTGCCTTCGTGTTCTTAATTACATATTATCTGCCTACAGACTGACCTAAGCACCGCCTATAGTGACTACCACTTCTCCTGGCGACATGATGGCGGTATCAACTACCCGTGGGACAAAGCAAACTTTTACTGCCAAAGTCTAGGACCTGGATGGCAAGGTGTCAGCATCGAAACGTATGAAGAAAACAGAATCATCAGTGAAATCATCGCTTATGGTGAGTAAGAATCTTCAATTTATGTTGGAATTTATCTAACCCAAAGTAACCTAACCCACTCTAACCAAGCCTAAGAGTCTAAACTGGAGATATCATAGCCTAACCTTAATTACTTGGACCATTGGATATTTTGGTTGTCAAAATCTGGGTTACCCGTAAGTGACCATAATCTAAATAACGTTGTCATGTGTGTGTGTGTGTGTGTGTGTGTGTGTGTGTGTGTGTGTGTGTGTGTGTGTACTCACCTAGTTGTACTCACCTAGTTGAGGTTGCGGGGGTCGAGTCCGAGCTCCTGGCCCCGCCTCTTCACTGATCGCTACTAGGTCACTCTCCCTGAGCCGTGAGCTTTATCATACCTCTGCTTAAAGCTATGTATGGATCCTGCCTCCACTACATCGCTTCCCAAACTATTCCACTTACTGACTACTCTGTGGCTGAAGAAATACTTCCTAACATCCCTGTGATTCATCTGTGTCTTCAGCTTCCAACTGTGTCTCCTTGTTACTGTGTCCAATCTCTGGAACATCCTGTCTTTGTCCACCTTGTCAATTCCTCTCAGTATTTTGTATGTCGTTATCATGTCCCCCCTATCTCTCCTGTCCTCCAGTGTCGTCAGGTTGATTTCCCTTAACCTCTCCTCGTAGGACATACCTCTTAGCTCTGGGACTAGTCTTGTTGCAAACCTTTGCACTTTCTCTAGTTTCTTTACGTGCTTGGCTAGGTGTGGGTTCCAAACTGGTGCCGCATACTCCAATATGGGCCTAACGTATACGGTGTACAGGGTCCTGAACGATTCCTTATTAAGATGTCGGAATGCTGTTCTGAGGTTTGCTAGGGCGCCCATATGCTGCAGCAGTTATTTGTTGATGTGCGCTTCAGGAGATGTGCCTGGTGTTTACTCACCCAAGATCTTTTTCCTTGAGTGAGGTTTGTAGTCTCTGACCCCCTAGACTGTACTCCGTCTGCGGCCTTCTTTGCCCTTCCCCAATCTTCATGACTTTGCACTTGGTGGGATTGAACTCCAGGAGCCAATTGCTGGACCAGGTCTGCAGCCTGTCCAGATCCCTTTGTAGTTCTGCTGGTCTTCGATCGAGTGTATTCTTCTCATCAACTTCACGTCATCTGCAAACAGGAACACCTCAGAGTCTATTCCTTCCGTCATGTCGTTCACAAATACCAGAAACAGCACTGGTCCTAGGACTGACCCCTGCGGGACCCCGCTGGTCACAGGTGCCCACTCTGACACCTCGCCACGTACCATGACTCGCTGCTGTCTTCCTGACAAGTATTCCCTGATCCATTGTAGTGCCTTCCCTGTTATCCCTGCTTGGTCCTCCAGTTTTTGCACCAATCTCTTGTGTGGAACTGTGTCAAACGCCTTCTTGCAGTCCAAGAAAATGCAATCCACCCACCCCTCTCTCTCTTGTCTTACTGCTGTCACCATGTCATAGAACTCCAGTAGGTTTGTGACACAGGATTCCCCGTCCCTGAAACCATGCTGGCTGCTGTTGATGAGATCATTCCTTTCTAGGTGTTCCACCACTCTTCTCCTGTGTGTGTGTACTCACCTATTTGTACTCACCTATTTGTGGTTGCAGGGGTCGAGTCATAGCTCCTGGCCCCGCCTCTTCACTGATTGCTACTAGGTCCTCTCTCTCCCTGCTACATGAGCTTTATCATACCTCGCCTTAAAACTATGTATGGTTCCTGCCTCCACTACTTCACTTTCTAGACTATTCCATGACTTGACTACTCTATGACTGAAGAAATACTTCCTAACATCCCTTCGATTCATCTGAGTCTTCAACTTCCAATTGTGACCTCTTGTGTCTGTGTCCCATCTCTGGAACATCCTGTCTTTGTCCACCTTGTCTATTCCGCGCAGTATTTTATATGTCGTTATCATGTCTCCCTGACCCTCCTGGCCTCCAGTGTCGTCAGGCCGATTTCCCTCAACCTTTCTTCGTAGGACAATCCCCGTAGCTCTGGGACTAGTCTTGTTGCAAACCTTTGCACTTTCTCTAATTTCTTGACGTGCTTGACTAGGTGTGGATTCCAAACTGGTGCTGCATACTCCAGTATGGGCCTGACGTAAATGGTATACAGGGTCTTGAACGACTCCTTACTGAGGTATCGGAACGCTATCCGTAGGTTTGCCAGGCGCCCGTATGCTGCAGCAGTTATCTGATTTATGTGCGCCTCAGGAGATATGCTCGGTGTTATACTCACCCCCAGATCTTTTTCCTTGAGTGAGGTTTGCAGTCTTTGGCATCTAAACTATATTGTGTCTGCGGTCTTCTTTGCCCTTCCCAATCTTCATGACTTTGCATTTGGCAGGGTTAAACTCAAGGAGCCAGTTGCTGGACCAGGCTTGCAGCCTGTCCAGGTCTCTTTGTAGTCCTGCCTGATCCTCATCCGATTTGATTCTTCTCATTAACTTCACATCATCTGCAAACAAGGACACTTCTGAGTCTATCCCTTCCGTTATGTCGTTCACATATACCAAGAACAGCACAGGTCCTAGGACTGACCCCTGTGGAACCCCGCTTGTCACAAGCGCCCACTCTGACACCTCGTCACGTACCATGACTCGTTGTTGCCTCCCTGGCAGGTATTCTCTGATCCATTGCAGTGCCTTTCACTGTTATGTGTGCCTGATCTTCTATCTTTTTCAGTAACCTCTTGTGAGGAACTGTGTCGAAGGCCTTTTTGCAGTCCAAAAAAAATGCAGTCGATCCACCCCTCTCTCTCTTGTCTTACTTCTGTCACCTTGTCATAAAACTCTAGTAGATTTGTGACACAGGATTTTCCTTCCCTGAAACCATGCTGGTTGTCAATTATACACTTGTTTCTTTCCAGGTGCTCCACCACTCTCCTCCTGATGATCTTCTCCATGACCTTGCATACTATACACGTTAGTGATACAGGTCTGTAGTTTAGTGCCTCATGTCTGTCTCCCTTTTTAAAAATTGGGACTACATTTGCCATCTTCCATACCTCAGGGAGTTGCCCAGTTTCAAATGATGTGTTGAAGATCTTTGTTAATGGCACACACAATATCTCTGCTCCCTCTTTAAGGACCCATGGAGAGATGTTGTCTGGTCCCACCGCCTTTGAGGTGTCAAGTTCGCATAGCAGCTTCTTCACTTCCTCCTTGGTTATATGTACCTCATCCAGCACTTGCTGGTGTACCCCCCTGTTCTGATTTCCTGGAGTCCTACTGGTTTCCACTGTAAATACTTCTTTAAATCTCGTGTTGAGCTCCTGACATACCTCTCGGTCGTTGCTTGTGAATTCCCCATCACCTTCCTCAGTCTGATTACCTGGTCCTTGACTGTTGTTTTCCTCCTGATGTGGCTGTACAACAGCTTCGGGTCAGTCTTGACTTTCGATGCTATGTCATTTTCATATTGTCGCTGAGCCTCCCTTCTTATCTGTGCATATTCATTTCTGGCTCTTCGGCTAATCTCTTATTTTCCTGAGTTCTCTGTCTTCTGTACCTTTTCCATTCTCTAGTACACCTAGTTTTTGCCTCCCTACACTTTGGGTGAACCAAGGACTCGTTCTGTTCTTCCCATTATTTCTGTTTCCCTTGGAACAAACCTCTCCTCTGCCTCCTTGCATTTTGTTGCCACATAGTCCATCATTTCTTGTACTGGTTTTCCTGTCAGTTCCCTCTCCCACTGAATGTTTTGAAGGAAGTTCCTCATGCCTGAGTAGTTCCCCCTTTTGTAGTTTGGTTTTTCCCATCCTATTCCTGCTACTCTCTCCACTTGGAGCTCAACTATGTAGTCGAAGCACAGAACCACATGATCACTAGCTCCCAGGGGCCTTTCATACAAGATATCCTCGATGTCTGAACTACTCAAGGTGAATACAAGGTCCAGTCTTGCTGGTTCATCTTCTCCTCTCTCTCTGGTAGTGTCTCTAACATGTTGATGCATGAGGTTTTCCAGTACTACATCCATCATCTTGGCTCTCCATGTTTCGGAACCCCCATGGGGCTCCAGGTTTTCCCAGTCAATCTCCTTGTGATTGAAATCACCCATAACTAGTAACTTTGCTCCCCCCACGTGTGCTCTCCTGGCCACCTCGGCTAGTGTGTCGACCATGGCTCTGTTGCTCTCATCGTATTCTTCTCTTGGTCTCCTGCAGTTCTGTGGTGGGTTGTACATTACTGCAATTATCAATTTATGTCCCTCAGACTGGATTGTTCCTACTAAGTAGTCCCTTTCACCCGTGCCATCCATTCCTTCCATTTTCTCAAAACCCCACTGGCTTTTAATGAGCAGTGCAACTCCTCCTCCCCCTCTCCTCCCTCTGTCTTTCCTGAAGATTTGATATCCGGGTGGAAAGATTGAATCTGTTATTATTCTGGTGAGTTTTGTTTCTGTGAGTGCTATTATGTCTGGGGATGTCTCCTTGATTCTTTCGTGCCACTCCTCATACTTATTTGTTATTCCATCTGCATTTGTATACCATACCTTCAACTTCTTTTCTAAGACTGTGGTCTGGGAGGTGTATTGGGGTTGGGGAAGTGGGAGACCTGATAAGGAACTATGGGTGGTTGCTGTGGGGGTGGAGTTTGTAATGTAGTGGGTGGGGGCATTGGATATGGCATGGGTGTTGTGGTTTAGAGTGTTTGGCTGCACTGGGGTTGACCTGGTTGGGAGGCTTCTATAGGAAGCTGTGAGGGAGGTTGTATTTGATCTTCCTGTGTCTGGGATCTCCTGTCTGTCTTCTCCATCCCCTCTCTTTCCTCCTTTCGCCTTTGTACCATCTCTCTCAGTTTCCGCCTTTCGTCTTGTGTTCTGTCGCGGTCGAGATACACCTTCCTGTATCCCGGCATGTCCCTTAATCGTGCTTTTTCCTGCAGTATCCTGTTCCGAGTCGATTCTGCCTTGAAGGTCACTTTCACTGGCCGGTTTCTTTTTTTACAAACCCCCCTATTCTCCGAAAATTTTCCAGCTGGGTCATGTCGTCTTCTCCGATTACTTTCATGATGCTTTCAATTGCTTTTTTTTCCCTTGTTTTCTTGCTTCATATGTTTCCCCTTCAACTTCCTGTAGCCATACACAAAGACTGACCTCACCTTTCATTTCTCCACTGCATATCCCTGTGTATCCCCTCATTCAATTTGATTTCCTCCATTGCAGCTTTCCTTTCTTCAGTTTCACTAGCTACTGTACATGGGCTCAGTGGCCTGTCATTTTCCCATCTCGGCTTTCCCTGGGCTCTGTTGTGGTCTTTTAGGGCCTCCACATATAGCTTAGCTCTTTCATTTACTACAGTCTCCACTGATAGAGCTTCTACATGCAGTTTTGCTCCTCCTTTCCCTACAGTCCCCTTATTTGTGGCTGAGGTAGCGGTCTCTGTTGTCAATCCCATAATGTTCTTTAGTTCTTTAGGCTGTTTCAGATTTTCCAGTTCCTCTTCTAAACTCTGTATCCTGGCCTCTGCTGCTTTGACTTTCACCTCCCACTTCCTGCTTTCCATGTCTATCCTCTCTTCCATTCTCATGCTAAGTTCTTCTAGTTTCTTTTCCCATTCTTGTTCCCTTTTTGTGAGCTCTGCTGCCCAATCTTCCTTTGCAGTTTCCTCCTCCTGTCCCTTGGTTTTCTTGTTGCTCTCTGGCAACCCATTTTTGTTTTATCCTGATTGCCTCAGAGTGGGAAACCTATGTAATTCTGTATGTTAGGTTAGTATTGTATATGTCAGAGTGTGGGGGGGGAGGTAGAGGAGGAACTGTGGCTATATAGGAGAGTAGTGGGGAGGGGGAGTGGGAAGGAGAGTGAAGCAAGTGGGTAAGTGGGTGAGGGAAAGGTGGGGAGGGGGAGGGTGAAAGAGGGAGGGGAGGGATCAGGTGAAGGAGTGAGATGTCGGTGGGGGAGAGGGGGAGTATATGTGTGTCTGGCAATATGTGTGTGTGTGTGTGTTGTGTGTGTGTTTCGTGTGTGTGTGGGGAGGGGGGTGGGGGGGGGGGTGTGGGTGGGTGTGTGGGTGGGTGTGTGTGGGTGTGTGTGGGTGTGTGTGTGGGTGTGTGTGTTTGTGTGTGTGGGTGTGTGTGGGTGTGTGTGGGGGTGTGTGGGTGGGTGTGGGTGGGTGTGTGGGTGTGTGTGGGTGTGTGGGTGTGTGGGGTGTGGGTGTGTGTGGGGGTGTGTGGGTGGGTGTGTGGGTGGGTGTGTGGGTGTGTGGGTGGGTGTGTGGGTGGGTGTGTGGTTGGGTGTGTGGGTGGGTGTGTGGTTGGGTGTGTGGTTGGGTGTGTGGGTGGGTGTGTGTAGGTGTGTGTGGGTGTGTGGGTGTGTGTGGGTTGTGTGTGGGTGTGTGTGGGTGTGTGGGTGTGTGTGGGTGTGTGTGGGTGTGTGGGTGTGTGTGGGTGTGTGTGGGTGTGTGTGGGTGTGTGTGGGTGTGTGTGGGTGTGTGTGGGTGTGTGTGTGTGGGTGTGCGTCGCACACTAGGCTACGCTACTCTTTTGAAGATTATAAAAAAAATTTCACAATCAATTCCTTATTATATGCACTAATATATACTATATAATATTAATTGCGTACACTTGTGTTTGTGTGTGTGTGTGTTTACTAGCTTGTCGTTCTTTGAAAAAGAGGGGGGGGGGGGGGGTTACGTTAACACTATTTGTTGTTGTTGGTTCACCGGTACTCTCCCGGCCCAGATCTTCGCACACTAGGCTACTTTACTTTTTGAAGATTATAGGATTATTTTTTCTCACTCAATTCCTTATTATTATATACTAATGTTTATTATAACAATAATTACGGGTGCACACGTGTGTTTGTATGTGCGTACTTGTTTACTAGCTTGTCCCTCAGAAAAACGGGGGGGGGGGGTTCACTAGGCTACACAACTTCTGGAGTTTACCTGGCGATATTTAGATAATTTACTAACGACTATCTATCTCCTGATACTGAAATAGGGAGAGAGAGATGGTACAGCATACAACCAGCAGGGCGAGACACTTGAGACTTTAGACACTAACCAAAATTAACCACAAATAGGCAAGTGACGTCGTCTGCACAACAATGGAGGTTCCTGCTGGTCGTCTATCAACTCCTTCAATTTTGTAACTCCTTCAGGAACTTTATCATGCATTCAAGTTTTTATTTTCTTTTTCTTTTAAGACTTGGTATTCCCTCTTTTTTCTTTAGTACAGTATTATGGTCATAACAAGTCTGATGATGTTAGCTACCTTCACAACACCAACAGCTGGGGATTGACTAATTTTTCTTACTTTCAGTATTTACTTAATCACTCTTTTATGACCTTATCACTACACTGCTGCTATAATCAACCAACATATGTATTTGTTAATATTTCAGATCACACCATTAACCCAATTAACTGTTTGGATATTTTGTGTCAACACTGCGGCCAGTAGCCTGATCAGCTGAGTGCTACCCTCCCTCACTCAAATTTCATTCAAATTTAAATTGTAAAATTCTTGATCCTATCACATTATTCGCACTCTTGAAAGCTATTACACTCTTGTAGGTATGTTCACTGATTCACTCACGTACGATGACCGCTAATAATATCTTAGGACAGCCACTAGAACGCTAAATCCTGGGAGCACTATTTAGCGATACTGCTTCACGTGTGTGTGTGTGTGTGTGTGTGTGTGTGTGTATGTGTGTGTTTGTGTGTGTGTGTTTTACAGGTAACTAAAGTTTATTTCATTCCATTCATTTTCTACCCCTTAGACAAGTTGAAATATGTGTGGACGGGCGGCTACCTCAGTGACTTCGGCTGGTCCTGGCCCTCTGGAAATCCATTCCTTGGACTCAGTTGGTCCAAGACCGGACTGTAAGTTCCTCCCCCGCTCCCGCCTCTGAGCGTGGTCTTCCTCTGAGTTTTATATCTGACTACTGATTAACTTTTATTTTTTTGCAAATTTGTGAAAATCCTGAGTGAGTGTCAACTAAACATTACCAGAGAATCTTTATCGCCCTTATTCATGAATATTTATGCTTAAGTTATATTAAGGGTCTTTTAAGGGATCTTAGGGGTGTTTTAGAGAGCCTATGGAGGATCTTATAGTAAAAGGACACAAGTGCAACTAATAAGGGACGCTTCAGATACCTTAGATATTTAGAAAGTACGCTTTAGGGACCTTTTAAAGACAGTAGGAACCATTAACTTATTTTCAATAATATTAAAGATATTTCATTAATTTAAGGATTATTTTTCGGACTTTTATTATTATTATTATTATTATTATTATTATTATTATTATTATTATTATTATTATTATTATTATTATTATTATTATTATTATCAACACTCCCTTCATATCCCACCGAGGCAGGATGAACTAAAATGAAAAAGAAAGATTTTCTTTTTAAATTTAACAATGTATACAGGAGAAGGGGTTACTAGCCTCTTGCTCCCGGCATTTTAGTCGCCTCTTGCGACACGCATGGCTTACGGAGGAAGGATTCTGTTCCACTTCCCCATGGATATTATCACCATTATTATTATATTATTAATATCATTATTCTAATTATTATTATTAGTATTAGTTAATTATCTGATGTACTGAACACGTGTAGGTTCTTCAGCTCAAGGGGTGCTGGAGGCTCGATTCTCTGTACGCTAAATTCCACTCAAATATTTAATGAGAGCAGTTTAAATAGAAGAGGTTCTGACTGTTTTCATGAAATCACTTCTAAAGCCTCATGTAGTCCGAGATCTATTGCACTGTAGTATCGTGGATTGAAATCCTTTGCAGTCTTTGTGTAGGAATTTGAGATTTGCTGTAAAAAAAATTCCTTGTCATCATCATCTCTCACCGTAACATAAAAATTACCTCAGAATTTTAGAAAAACGAAGACTATAATTTTCTGTGGCTTTAAATAATTTCACACGACCGCGTCAATTTTTGTTTATTGCTCAACTTTGAGTTATTTTTTTAGGTCTTAGTTCTTGGAGTTATTCTTTTTATTTACTGTTTATACGTGTATATACATCGAGCAGTGTATTCTTCTCAGTGTATATACATCGAGCAGTGTATTCTTCTCAGTGTATATACATCGAGCAGTGTATTCTTCTCAGTGTATATACATCGAGCAGTGTATTCTTCTCAGTGTATATACATCGAGCAGTGTATTCTTCTCAGTGTATATACATCGAGCAGTGTATTCTTCTCAGTGTATATACATCGAGCAGTGTATTCTTCTCAGTGTATATACATCGAGCAGTGTATTCTTCTCAGTGTATATACATCGAGCAGTGTATTCTTCTCAGTGTATATACATCGAGCAGTGTATTCTTCTCAGTGTATATACATCGAGCAGTGTATTCTTCTCAGTGTATATACATCGAGCAGTGTATTCTTCTCAGTGTATATACATCGAGCAGTGTATTCTTCTCAGTGTATATACATCGAGCAGTGTATTCTTCTCAGAGTATATACATCGAGCAGTGTATTCTTCTCAGAGTATATACATCGAGCAGTGTATTCTTCTCAGTGTATATACATCGAGCAGTGTATTCTTCTCAGTGTATATACATCGAGCAGTGTATTCTTCTCAGTGTATATACATCGAGCAGTGTATTCTTCTCAGTGTATATACATCGAGCAGTGTATTCTTCTCAGTGTATATACATCGAGCAGTGTATTCTTCTCAGTGTATATACATCGAGCAGTGTATTCTTCTCAGTGTATATACATCGAGCAGTGTATTCTTCTCAGTGTATATACACTCGGAGTTTAGTTCGTTATGTATTTGAAGAATAAAGTATCTTTGACTCACTGAATAGTAATAACACGGATGCACACAAACAACGGTACGGGTGGGGCTAGAACTCATGGCAAGTGAGTTTTAAAACTCCAGACCAGTGCGTAAGCCACTGGGCCAGCTCACTTGCCATTAGTTTTAACTCCACCCGTACAGTGGTTTATCTTTGACTTGTGGTTTACAGGCTATACGCTGCCTTAATGACCCTCGTGTGATTAATAGGCTGTTACTTAAGCAGTTAACTTATGAATTATGACTATAAATCATTCAGTAATGTATACAGGAGAAGGGGTTACTAGCCTCTTGCTCCCGGCATTTTAGTCGCCTCTTACGACACGCATGGCTTACGGAGGAAGAATTCTTTTCCACTTCCCCATTGACAATTATAATATAGTGTACATATCACAACGATTATTATTTCTACATTATACATATAACTGAAAAAACAGTGCTGAAGATGCCATTCATAGCAGAAAGCACCCGCAATATGAGGCCTGGTCACAGACCGTGCCGCGAGGGCGTTGATTCCCGAAACCTTCTCCAGGCACCTCCAGGTAAAAAATTTCCTAACACTGCATATGTGTCTTGCTTATAATCGTGTCATTACAATAGTTCGAGTCCTCATATTACGTTGTCCCTTCTGCAGCAGCGGTTTACCTCAGCCTGACAACCGCGAGAAGCGTAACGAGAGATGTCTGGCCATTCTTAATTACTTCTACAACGACGGCATCGTTTGGCACGACATCGGCTGCCATCACGAGAAGCCTATCATCTGCGAGCGCCCGAGGATCTACAAAGCCTTCGCATAGGTCGAACGGTATCCACGATTCTACTGAGTCAGTAAGTTGATTCATAGGTGTCTACAGTAGCAGTGTCTCACTGTCGTCAACGGTAGAGCAGCATCTCACTTTCGTCTACGGTAGCAGCATTTCACTGTCGTTTACGGTAGCAATATCTTACTGTCGTCTACGGTAGCAGTATCTCACTGTTGTCTACGGTAGCAGTATCTCACTGTCCTCTACGGTAGCAGTATCTCACTGTCGTCTACGGTAGCAGTATCTCACTGTCCTCTACGGTAGCAGTGTCTCACTGTCGTCTACGGCAGCAGTGTCTCACTGTCCTCTTCGGTAGCAGTATC